CCAGTTGCCGATGTGGGTTGAGTTGATGCAATTTGAATCGTTTGGAAGGCGGAGTAACCCCAAGCCTATGAACGCTCTACCGGAAGACAGCTGGGACGAGGGTGAATACGAAGTAGAACCCATCTCGAGCGTGCGAACAGGACGTCGGACACGCTACGGACGGAAGCTGCGCGAGTTCTTGGTGCGCTGGAAGGGTTACGACGATCCAACACGGGTCGACGAAGCCGATCTTAACTGTGGAGCAATACGGCATGATTAGCTGCGTGACTCGGAACGGTCCATGCCACATGTGTGCCCGTTTACGCGCATATTCCTCCTTACGCGATCTAGGTACATCCATACTTGTGAGCCAACCTCGATCTTGTGTGGTCGGGTCACTCGTTATGCCGATCTCCTCTCTCTCTTTGATAGCTTCGCTCAGATGTTCAAAACTTGTTCGCGAGCCTGATGATTGTGTTTCTGGATATAATAACGCCACCGGCAGGGTTCTCGATCTCGACGTCGTGTCGACCCTAGAGGAATCGCAGCTTCCAACGTAGATCGAGGATCTCATCTATAAACTATGTAGAACGGCGTGTCATCACGAACATGATCTTGAGCCGTATTGAGTGCGAAAGTCAACCGTTCCACGTATTCATCCCAATTCTTCTGGTTTACATCAGTCACGTACATCTTGAGAGCACGTGTTAATGTCTGTACTATGTGCGCTGCTGTGCCGTTGGCTTGAGGACGATACGCCATAGTCGCTCGCTATTTTTGGCCAACGATCCTGTTGAACGATCTGAAGAAATCGGATATGAAGCCAGGTTCTCGGTCATGCCTGATCGCCTCACTTGCACCAAATCGACGTAACACACACTCTTCGTAGTTTTCTGCAATAGTCTGATCAGTCCTTGAGGAAATGGCTCCAGCGATCACGAACCCTGTGAAGAGATCCACCCAGATCAACAACTCCGTGTTACCCTTATACGACTTAGGCAACGACGGAACATGGTCGATAGCAATAACCTGGAAAGGGTAGGTCGCTTGAAGCTTTCCAGGTGATTCACCTAGGATTGACGGTCTTCCTTTCCCAGTCTCACAGTCTACACACTCCCCCCCATAGCGTTGCACACTCAGGTATAGTCCTCTTCGGTGAAAGTCTGCTGGTAGATCCTCCCAATACCTTGATGTCCACCTTCCACACTGGTGTGGTAGTGATGAAGAAAGTCGTTTTGCAACGATTCTGGTACCACTAACCTCATCACGAGGTCGCGATCTTCATCAGATTGTTTGGATGGAGGACAGTAGAAGAGTAGGCCGGCCTCGACGATCTCGTAATCTTCTGTGATCTTGGCATAAGTTTTAGCTTCCGACGCTGACAGATCCTGCACGTCCCCTCGCAAATACCTCTTGAAGTCCGCAGACCACTTCTCACCTTGAGCTCGAGCAATTCGATCCATTCGTACTCGCTGTACAACGGCTTCCTGTAACACTTCAGGCCTGCGTCGCCGGTGCGATCTTGAGATGGCTGCGATCTTAGGTACCGCCTCGTCAGATCGAGCGACCAATAACTCTAGCAGGCGGTTGAGCGTTATCAAATCGTCCCGGCCAGCACCAGACATGATCACGTAGCCTTTTCCTTTTTGCAGTGCCGCACTCGCGAGACTATCAGCGCTTTGGTTCCAGTCTCTTTTCACATGGAGAAAATTCATGTTCCGGCCAAGATCGCAACTGCTCGATGGCTTTCTGCCGGAGCAATTTCAGACTCGGCGCCTTACATTCGATCTCCCCACGCATCTGCCGAATCACCAGGTTTGAGTCGCCGCAGATAACAAGCCGTCCCCTGTCTAGGTCAGACGCGAGCTTAAAACCGAGTAGTAGACCGTGGTACTCTGCCTCATTGACGGTAAGATCGGCCTTATACTCGGACGCTGCTGCTACCACTGTCCATTGAGGTAAGCTCCATACGATCGCGCTATATGCACCTCCACTGCGTTTCACACGAGCCGACCCATCGAAACTAACCACCAGCAACTTCTCGTCTGGTTCCACAGTGGGCGGCTGCATCGTGGTGACTTGCCTCGGCTGCTTTCTTGGTGCAATCGACGTCAAGATCGCGTCCACTTCGGCACGTGGGGTGATGCTAGCCGAGATTACTCCCAAGATCTCATCCTCGCCTTTGGTGCACTTGACGATCTCTAGCGTCCAGCTCGAGAGAAGGGCAGCCCAATTTCCTAGTCGTCCTTGTAGACCTGACGAATGCAACAGCCAACCCAACGTTGAATGTCGAGTCAACTCTTTGATCGACCTTGTCACCAATTGAGTGTAGCAAACGCCCAAGATTCTTAGAAGCGCCAACACCTCTTTATCCACAATCCCGTAGTTGATCTCGTTCGGCTTAAGCATTCGGCTTGTAAAGGTCACAGGCTGGTACATACCATCTTGTTCCTGCATCAAGGCTGCTGAGATCGCCCGCTTGCTGGCGTACAAAACCACGACGGGCTGTTTGTCGGAGTCAAAGTGCTGAAGAATAGGCGCGGTCGCGATCCTGACCTTCAGCGTTTCGAAAGCCCTGACTGCCCTGGCCCATTTGCCATCTTCTTCAGGTTTACTATCGTCCCCAGCTACGGCTTCGATCTTGGACTTCTGAGTGATCTCATAGAAATCTGCTTACCGAAGCTCATACAGTATCGAAGCGTAGATCGCCAAATCCTCGATAAAACGACTGTAGTAATTCAAACTTCCCAGGAAAGACTGCATCGATCTTAGTGTGGTCGGGAAAGGCAGGTCAGTAAGAACAGCCAGATCCTTCGGTTTGGCTTCAAGTCCGTCTGCGGAAACACAATGGCCAATATAGTCGACCTTGCGCCGTCCCCAGACACTCTTCGCCACGCTAATGGACAAATTCCACTCAGCACACACGTCCAAGAACTTGTCTACCTTCTCACACAGTTCGTCCCACGATCTCGCCGTCACAAGAATGTCATCAATATAAGATCGACGTCTAAGAACCGAGGACGTTTTGCTCCGATCGGGTTCCCCGTTTTCAAATACGTCGGTCTTGTCGGCACGATCTTGGTTATCCGTGATCTTGAGGAAACCGTATAGAACGTTGTCTAGCAGTCGCTGGTAGATCTTAGGAGTATTCTTGAGTCCAAACGGCATACGGTCCCACTCGAATAGTCCAAAAGGCGTGATAAACGCTGAGATCGCTCGAGCTCGATCTGTCATCGACACGACCCAAAAGCCGCTGGCCATGTCCAGCGAGCAGTACCATAGTGCCTTGTCGAGATCGTCGAGCAGGTAATTAATCAAAGGCATTGGATACACCATTAACCGCGTTAGGCTGTTCACCAGCCGATAGTCGATGCAGAGCCTGATGTCCACGCCGTTTTTCTTGATGATAACGACTATGGGGGAGGCCCAGGGCGAGGACGAATGGCTGATGATCCTGGCGGATAGTAGACCCTTGATCAGCAGGCACAGCTTCTCTCGAAACTGTGGGGCGACTTTTCGAACTCGCTGGGCTACGGGCTTGGCGTTTCCCACATCTTTGTCGCATACGACCCCAACCGCAGCTGGCGGTAAGGCGTTACCCTTTCCGATCTGGAGGTGGCGACGCCGCCAGATGATTCGCCTCAATCTGTCGATTGCCTCTGGTGTGTTGTAATCTGGATCTCCTACTTGGACATCCTCGATCTTCACTTCTTCCGTTAATTCAGCGACGTCTGGAAGGACTGCCATGTTATTATTGGCGTCTTCTGCGTAGACGTCGCTTCCTTCGCTGATACACACTTCCTCATCCCCAAGATCAGGGGCTGCTCCACGATCTTGATGACGGGTCCAATATGCCTCTGCCTCCATCTGACGATCTTGTTTAGCGCCTGTGCCTTTTCGTCGCTCTTGCTCAACTTACATCCGTCGATCTTGTTCATAACATGTCTCTGCACGTCGATCTTATCCGAAACTCGTCTCTGCGCGTCGATCTTGATTACCAATCCGAAGTGACCCCGCCTCATTATGATTATTAATCTGATTCGAGCCTGTCTCAGTGAGTCGATTACGCATCTCTGTTGCAGAAAATTCTTGATCACGGGATGGGGTGGACTCATTCTGCGTGTGACACGCTGTGTCGTCGGATGTCCGGTCGATGGACTGCAAACTGCTTTGGCCGGCTTCGATGGTGTTTCTTCGATTGGCTTCGTCAGTGTTCTTCGCTGCCTTGTCGCACACCCTAACCGCGGTTATAGTCTTGCCCATACCAGACCGTGGTTTCGTCGACTCGGGCGAGATCGCTGTTGGTCTGGGCAGGATCCTGGTCGGCGTGGCGTACGACAGCCGTTCTACAGCGGCCCTGGTAGGTCTACCACCTCAGGCCCGTCGTCAATCTCGTCCGCCGCAGCTTGGTACGCAAGATTCTGCCACTCCGCATGGCGTCTCGACCCGACCAGGACATATCCCGGTAAGCGCGGTACTCGACCTTCCGCTAACCACATTCCCACTCGATCGTGCTCTTGTAACCATACCACACGGTCACTAGCATTGGTGATCTTCAGGTAGCACTTCTTGCCCGGGCCCAGCACGAAGGTAGGGACCCAGCGGTCGCCTAACGTAGCCCACAGCTTCATGAGATCGCAAGATCGCTGGCGTAGCTGGATCTCCCCTGATCACCAAGGACCAATACTGAGGCTTTAACGAATTTTGATCTTGTCGATCTTCTCTCCGTAGGGCGGCCGCCGTCCATACATCTGTATCCGGACATCGTCAGGAAGGCAATACGAGCCATCTGCAAGATCGAGCCGAATTCCGGCAGTTACCATGAAATCCATGCCGAGGAATAGATCTTGACCACCTGTCGGCGGGCCAACCCAGAGTCGAACAAATACACCAAGTTTCCAGCCAACGTGATCTTGACTCGTGTACGTCCATGCGTTGCATACGGAGAATTTCCAACTCCTTCACACTCTAGTGTCTGACTTTAGTCAACATAGCAGCCAGCCTTACGAGCAAGGCGGCGCCTAAAGTAGACATCTCGGCGCCGCTATTCAGCAACAAGAGCGCCTTCTCGTTGTTGATCTTTCCCATAGCTTTCGCCTGCTTGAAACATTTGTCTGGTAAATGGTACTTCCAGTACCCACGCGACTCTCCAGGCAAGATGTCCAGGGTCATTACTACGGGCGAATTCGTAGATCTCACACAGACTTGACACGGCTAAGATATAGTTCTTTTGAAGATCACATATATTGTAGATAGAAGCCATCGGTTTGCCAACTGATAACTTCGGTCGTTTTTCGACGTGCATAGATGCAAAACCTAGAACGTTCGGCTCGTACCGGATTCCAACCCGGCGAGCGTCCTAGTTTAACATCTTCTCCGCAGATTCTGGAAACATCCCTCGAAGCTTGTCGGGGCTGAACAATTGACGGACCCGGTTGTAAAACTCTTCCATTGGACACTCCCCAGCTTCATGAATCACTCCGCAAGCCTTGCAGACGAAAAAGCATCGGTCTGTCGGGTGGCCTCTAAGTCCGCATTGCTCGCACGTCAAGAGTCCCCAACAGCCAAGATCGTCATGCTTCTTCGATCCGCAGTGCGGGCAGCGCTTGGCCACCGTGCCCAAGTCCTTCGATCTTGGGTATTGGCCTCCCGGATGATCACGGATCTCTTGTCGATCTTGACTCGGAGGGCTTCGATCTTGACGTTTATCGTGGTTCCCAGCTGTAGTAATGTACACTCGGTGCAGGTCCTCGTCATCATCTGTTTCACACGTCTCGATCTCCGAGTCGCTACTGGTTTCAGCAGCATGGACCGCTTTAACCGCACGCGTAGGTACGGTCGCGTTGGGATGCTTCTGGCGAGGTTTGATTGAGCCATATACCGACTTGATCTGTCGTGCCTTTGCACGCTGGCGAGATCGCAACACCTCGTCGAGGGCACCTGCATCGGGAATCCTCAGAAGTGCGAGATGATCAGCTAAATCCCGGTCGTCCAGCGTCTCGATGAAGTGATCAACATGTTCACGGCGGACTTGCGACGGACCGTCCTTGACTTGGATTCGAGCGCGTAGACCTGCGACATTAAGGCGATTCAGATACTCCAGCGGCGACTCGTCGGATCGTTTCCGGGCATGGTAGTATTGCTTTGCGACGGAAACACCATGGCCGCAGTATTGCGTCTGGAAGCTGTAGAGCAAGTCCTTCCACGTGCTGCGGGTCGTACGACTTAGCTGTCGATACCAATTTCGAGATGGTCCGGCGAGGAGATCGCCAAGACAAGGCACTTTGCCTCACCTGGCGCTTGATCTCGCACAAAGGCTGATTTAACCTTGCTCAACCAAGATCGGGCTCGATCTTCGTCGCCGTCCTTTCCCAAAAACGCCTTCATTTCCGACATCGCTGACACCCGAATACGTGGGGCAATTGTGGACTTCGCTGTAGACGTCGTTGCGACGGCAGCACGTCGGGGCGCGATGAGGTCGAGATCATCGCGGTCGTATTCGTTTGGAAGGAGAAAGCGATCTAGAGATCCAACCGACTCCATCTCTACGTCTTGGACTCCAGTGGGTGTCGGACCTTCAGGCGCCGTCGCTGTCCGCTGTTCTTCAAGAAATCGCCCCATCGCCGACTGAAAGAATGACCCCAGCTTCTCCGGCGAAAAGCGCGTTACACTTGCGACAGCGGAGCCTCTCTCAGTGGGTGAACTTGCAGCCTTCTGGGCGGCTCGATTTCGTAGCGTCGAGGTTCCGGATGGGCCTAGAGTCATTCGTGACGGGTCATCGACACTGTCGGTGTCCACCTCCTCTGTTGAAGACTCATAATGGGAAGACGACTCGTCGCGATCGTCCCCTGGAAAATCAGTCGGGGGTCCTTCTTTCATAGGGACCTTGTGGACTCCACCCACCAGCGGCTTCAACAACCCGAGCAGCGTCCTGGGGCAGCCTTGATGACCTCTTCTAAAATCGAACAGATCATTAGCCTCAAATGCTTCAGTAACAATTCCGGACTTCTTGAACAACTGTAGCGTAGCTTTTACGTTGTCCAACTTATTCGATCTCAAGGCCGGTTCAGAAACAGGACCCTCCAGATCACCGAGCAGCTTCGGACGGAGGATGCGCATCACAGCGTCCTCGGCTAGAAATGCGTGAAGCTACTTCTTTTGATACACGTTCTCGAGTTGTTCATCCGTCCAAGCCGACGTAAGATCGACGGGACCGTCGATGGTCGAGTCTGGTGCCTTCAGCTTCTTTCGTGAGGACTTCGATCTGGCTGGCTTCTTCTTTACCGTCGATCTTGAGCTAGGCGGTTGCTTGGACGAGACGTTCCCGGCTTTCGCGAGTGGACTTTCGTCCAGCGGGTTTTGATGCGAATTAGAACCCGCAGCGGTCCCCGAAGGGACCTTGGCAGGAGGTTGAGGTTTTTCTTCTAGGTTTGTCGCCAGTCCTCCCTCTGTTCCGTCGGTAGAGCTCCTCCCAACGATCTGTTGATCGACCTTGGTTAAGTGAAGTCAACGGTGATCCAATGTCCGTCGGCGCTTCGTTCCCTAGTCCAATTTTAGCTTGCGCTTCTTCATCTGGTGACTCACGGTGGTATCCTGAGGCACCCAAAGATCCGGGCACGCGCACCATTGTGGCGAAGTGGTTCTGCAAAAATTGCTGATCGCTGAGGTCCTCTTGCACACTGCACCCGAACTGCCAACTAACGGAAGGGGTACTCCGATCTTCCGTGAAGTTGAAATGCTCATCTTGTGTACCCGTCGGTGGGCTTATATTTTTGGGATGATCTCGGAAGCGACGCTTGGGCTGGTTTCTTGGACTGTGTATACAGCGGGACGTTTGACAGCAGCGGGGATACGTCTACTCACCGCGTCGATTACGGTTTTGAGCTGTCAATAGTAAGATATAAGATCGACGGTCTTGGGGGCCGATGTTGGTCTTGGCCCGGGGACATCTTATGGTGCCTTCCTTCCTTTACGCGCTTGCCGCTTCCTTTAGAGGTTGGTCTTGAGTGAGAGTTGATGAGCGTTCTGGTTAAGCAATCCAGGCGCTCGAGCTTCGATCTTGCTTAGGTACGTCTGTAGCGCGTCGTCGGGTGGGCCAAACTTAATTCCGTGCCCGGAATAGCAAAGACGAAGAACACTTGCTAAGTATGAAGAAAACCAACTCTGCTTAATGGGTTAGCCTCGTCCTATGTCAAAATCTGTGGCTCCTGAACGCCTGCTATCACTCCCTCGAATCTCCGGGTATCACTGGCTCTTTGGTCGGCTGTTTACGCCGCAGGCGGGTCCAGCTCGTGTGTCCTTTACCTCATGTTCGCATAATCCCTCGCAGACTCGATAAATCGTGCGTACAATGGACTTGGGCAGGTGTGATGTATACCACACTTGAGATCGCCATCGGTTTGGCCAGGTTTGACGTGGACCACACCTAGTTCGCCATAATGGGTGGTGGTCGATCTTGAGTGATAGGAACTGATAGCGCCCATTCTGAATCTGCTTCGCCAAAGTTTCATGGGAAACCTATCGCTGTGGGTCAGACTCGCGAACCTCGCCACCAGCTGTCATTTTCCTACTAAAACCAAGATTAAACGTGGTCCTTAACTGATCGAGACTGAATTTGAGGCATCAATTTCAGCACCAGATTATTCTCTCATTCTTACTGGTTGAGAGATGAAAAATTATCAAAAAAAAAAATAGCAGCTTTCCAGACCTGCAAAGCATTTTGATTTTGCGCTAGCTGTTCCCAACTTATGGGCCTGTGAAATGATCGTCCTGTCGGCGGCCTTCAACTGGTTTTTTTTTACCTTAGTATCAAAGTATTAACCCCTCGAAGACGGCCGCTGACATGAACGGTTTAATAAACCTTCCCGAACGGTTTATTTTTCTCTTACGTTCACTAATCATACTATAATCAAGTGATATTACGTCCTCTCTATGACAAATGTGTAGCAAAGCTCTCCGAATATTATTTCCGCAAGGATTGTGGCTTAGAAAGGTTAGCCAATAATAGTTAACTCCTTCGCAGAGCAATTTTCTGAAATTTGACACCCCCACACGAGACAGCGGAGATGGAGCGTACCCTGCGCTCACGGCATTAGACAGAGGAGGCGAGTGTACATCAAGGTAAAGAGCATGCGTACTGATAAATGTATTGTATGTAATGTTATTCTGACAGTTCCGGTTCGTTTGGTAAACTTTGCAGCGTGCGATCGCGTACGGCTGGAGTTTTTGGAGCGAACTCACCGTTGCGCCAAACCAAGTGAAATATCTGCGAGCAGGTAAGACCAGGATTGGAAGTGATTTCGAATTATGTCGCACATAAAGTAGAGACCCCGCTGACTGATTGAGCACTTCTGACTGTACCATGTTGTTCTCGAGCCAGAAGCGCACACACGCGGCATTGTCGCTGGCGTAGCCTTGTCACACCCTTGTTGACTCTTGTGTCTGTGACTTGAACTAGCACGTGATCCTCTGAGGAGATGAGACCGTCAGCAATCCCTGGCGATGTCGATATTTCATGAGCAGCTTGTCTGGCGTTCGTCCTCGTGAAAGAAGCCTCTGTGGTGTTTATCAGAGCTTTGTGCAAGTCCATGAGGAAATCATAATGCGTCATCTTCTTTCTCTTCCGTTTTTCGCTGATACAGCAGTGAATGATGTAAGTATTCACAATGGCATGTCGATGAGACCTTGGAACAGCGACAAATAATATTTTTTGAAGCTAGAGCATTCATGTCAGCATAAATATTGTCAGTAAATCATTCGTGTCAGTAAAGAGGTCAAATTTCTTACCGAGTTGTCAATTGCAGTGAGTAAGACTGAAGCCGCAGTTGATCGTGTTTATCCAC